TGATTCTGCACACCTCTGAATGCCCCGTGGAGTTATTATTATTTTATTTATTTAGCTTTTCATTAAAATGTTCCATATTGTAACATTAACAAGCTGCAGCCGCAATTATACTCCCTCAAAGTTATTACTTTACACCAGAAGCTGCACACAGATGCTTTTTTCACCGTGTTCAGGACATGGTGGCTGTAGAAAGGATGGTATTAACACCGCTAATAGTCACGTAGAAGGAATGTAAAAGAATAAATAGAAGATATGGGCATATGCGGTGAGTCACATAATTGATATGAATATTCCAGTGATCGTAATAAAACAGCATTACTAAAAGGGGAAAAACTTAACTTTTGCAATCAGTACATATGTACTGTTTTTATAAATCAAAGAACAAATTGTCACATACGGGGTGAAACCAACATGGGGTTCAACGGGGCTACCGCGATGGCCTGTTTCTGGAAAACAACCATTCCTTCCTGCTGAACTCCCCTTCAAAATAAAACTAACACATAACATTACTCTCGTATCAGCACTTCTTCAAACCGTTACCATAATAATAAAACCAAAAAATGCCGCAACACACCAAATTTTTCTTTTTTTTTTGTTTTTTCCTTTACCATTTAAATGTTGCTACTAACTGTTTCAGTTTCTTTTTGACTGAATTGTTGCTACTTTGAGCATCATTTTGGTTAGATTCTTGTTCATCATTGACATGATCATCCTGAGAGTTTTAACTGAAAACAACTATCTTGAAGAGGTTTTGCCGCTCTTCCAAGAGGCTTCTTCAGTTCTAAACCATGAGTTGTCAGTAGAAGTTGTGGTCAGAAACAAACACACTGATTGTGCTGCTCGTCATTTGTTTTAATACAGGCCATTTAGAGTGATGTTATTGTCCCTTTTTTTCCCAGATCATGTATTCTGTAACACTCATTTTAACAACATAGAAAATCTATGGCCAATCCATGTGACTGGTATCAGTGATGAGTGGTTGAGATGTTTCCATTTAAACCCTTTATAGTAGAATAACTAACAAGTGGTGTCTGAATCTTCTGTTTAAATTGTTTAAAGAAATAGCTTTTGAAGGTTTTTCTGTTACAATTTGGTTTTTGGACTTTAAAGCACATCTGTGGACACATATTTTCTCCCCAGGGGCTGCTGCTGTAGCTGACTTTGAGACACCAGTTTCCATAAATCTCATTCTCCCTATCCGGTGACATTTGAACCATTCTCTCTGTGGTTTCCATCTTCCCTCGCGACACCTGAGCAGTGACCTGTCCAAATCCTCAGATTACTTAACTTTGCTGGAATGTTCTTTTTATGTCTTTATTTCCTCTTTTCTTTGTTGCATCTGCCCATTTGTGACCCCTGTGCACCAGACTGCTCTATTAAAAAAGACTGGAATTGTGTGTGTGTGTGTGTGTGAATGCGTGCGTGTGTGCGTGCACATGCATGTGTCATTTATATTCCTCAAGCTTAGAAACTCCTCTTTTCTGGAGTCTAGCAAGACCTCTGACTCACCTTGCTTTGTGAATGACACTACGTGTTTCTAACACAATTACAAATTTAGTGTTTTCTTGCAGCCAAATAAAATCTGAACAAAATAAAATAAAATAAAACCGTATAGATTGGTCAGTTGAACAGGGACATATTTGACCTCTTTTTAACAAGATGTGTCATCTAAGTACTGTATTGACCCAAATATAGGACGACCCCCTTTCCAAGACTAATTTTCAGGAAAAGACAAAAAAAAAACCATCACTTTTTAAATAGACAATGTTTTTTTTTAATTGAGAACAAATACTGAGAAAAAATACAATTTTTATACAAACTATCAGAACTTTGCTGACATGTGAAATCAAAAGTCAAATAAAGCTTTTATTCAGACGCCCTCTGCCTCGCTGTACCCACTTACTCTCATGCTGCTGCGGTGGCGCAGTACTTACCTAGTGGAGCAAATTCCAAAAAGAGACCTTGTCCATAGTTTGGCAGTTTTCTGGCTTTTAAAGTGAGGATGCTGAAGAAATGGCAATGTTTTGCAAATGCTGTCAAGCAAATGTGCTAGCAACTTGCTTCACCACCTTAGCCGAAAACAGGTCTTGGAGTACCAAGAAATGTTCTGTTTTATTTTGACTGCAGTCATTATCATTCGTTTTTTTTACTTAATGCCGCCTATTGGAAACCATATTTTGAAGGGGTTATGGACTTATCTGTGTCTGTACATGGGAAAAAACAACACGATACAGTACAGTCCATATGAGAGTGAAATGGTCTATAGGGAGTACGGCTGGACAATAATTCAATAGTTCAATATATCTATCGATATGGTGCAATGGATAAAAAAATGGTTCGATAAAACTTTGATTATAATGAAAAAAGGAAGCTTTTTTAAATCAATCAGGTAGCAGCTAGAGGCTGACTGATATGTTTATTTTTTAAGGCTAATGCCGATTTTTAAAGAATTTTGTTGCCTATGGCCGATATCTCAAGCCGATTATTAAGGCATGTATGTATATATGTGTGTGTGTGTGTGTATATATATATATATATATATATATATATATATATATATATATATATATATATATATATACATACACACACACACATTTTATCTATATACTTTTTTCTATATTGTCCAGTAGGGTTGTCACGGTATGAAAATTTAACCTCACGGTTATTGTGACCAAAATTATCACGGTTTTCGGTATTATCGCGGTATTTTTTAAACGGTGTTGCATATGTTCAGAAAGCATTGATAGTCCTGTTCTACACAAACTGAAATAGTTCTGAAAAGGTTTACCAGTGTTTATTAAACCTAAAATAACACAAAGCCTTAGCAAAAGTGCAACTTTTCACAAGTAAAGGAACAAATATCTTCTTTTTCTGGAACATGTTACAGTAGTCAGTGCAGGTTTAAATGATACAAATCCAAACATTCGAAACATAAACAATATGTAAACAAATCAAAGAAACACCACTTGTTTTCTCATATACTTGTTTTCTTCATTATCAAAATGAAAATCTAAAACTCCAGTCCACACTTGACTTGAGCTCTGTACAAGTCAACCTTAAAAAATATGTATTTAAAATAAATAGCCACTTTAAACAAACTACTAAAATAACTACTACACTATGTAATCAAATCCAAATGTTCAAGTATAAATGGCATTGAATAAGTAAACAAATCAATGACAAGGAACTAATTGTATATTTCTCTTCATCATCAACAAATAAGATGCTTCATCCAGCAACAGGGTGTCCGTGACACGGTTTAAATGCTGGCAGAGGACGCTGCGGCTGCAGTATATAGCGACTCGTTGCATTCTCCGTCAACCAAAAGTCCTCACGTCATGCATTTAAGCTAAAATGCTAATGTTATCTTACCTTGCACTGGCTGTAGAGACGTGGGTGATGGTCACGCAGATGTGCCATTAGATTTGAAGTGTTGCTGCCTTTTGCAGACACTTGTTTCCTGCACGTTCTGCAAACGGGATAGCAGTCTTCTATTAACTGTCCCTCAGCATTTTTCAGAAATCCAAAATATGCCCATACTTCCGATTTAGTCTTCTTTGAGGGCTGATGGATGTCCTGGGCGCTGCCGTCTCCTCCTTCGGCCATTATTTCAGCTTCAAAGTTTTGGTGCCGTTGCAAACTAAAAAGTGCGTGTGCGCGCCGCGGGAACTTCAGCTCAAGCGACGGTGGCTGGTAAGGGTCACCGCGCTGAAACCGCGGCCACGGTAAACCCACCGAGATAATATAGTTTTTTAAAAACTGGACGGTTATTTTTATTGTCAACTTTTTTACCGGGGTTTACCGCTATACCGGTTACCGTGACAACCCTATTGTCCAGCCCTAATAGGGAGCCTAAGTCACGCCCATCTACTTTTGGACCATGGGTTCCCAGAAGATCGAAAAAGGGAATGCAAGTCAATGGGGCTATAAAAGCAATTTTCAAATCCCGTTTGTTATGTGCCTTGGATTTCACATATGATGTCTGTAAATTTTAAAGACTCATTCTGATGACTAAAAAGTGCTTATTTTTGAAGGAGACAACTGAGTCCTCTGGTTTCAGGCTAGTAAGGGGAGAGTTCCAGAGTCTGGGGGCCACGGCAGCAAATTATCTTTGGTCTTTAGCCTGGTGCGCAGCACAACCAGTAGGCTTTGATCACTGGACCTCAGGGACCTGCTGGTGGTGTAGGGACTGAGAAGATCACCAATGTATGATGGTGCTTGTACATGTAAGGCCCTATAGACCAGAACCAGGATCTCCAAAGGAACTTTGAAGTTGACTGGCAGCCAGTGAAGCTGGAGGAGAAGCGGGGTGATGTGGGTGGTTGGCTCTCCTTTGTGGACCAATCACAGTGCTCTATTAGTTTGAAACCTCTATAGAGAGCTGTGATTGGCCAGCCAGAATGCTTCTTGGGGCCGCAGACGTTCAAATGGAGCGTTCTAGACCAAACTTTACAAAACAAGAATTTGGTCTAGTTCACTAGGCTATCATTTATCTTCAACTACATTTACGTTGATTTTAGGCATTTTCCCTGTGTTTAGCTATGTTTAGACCATCTGGGGGAAGAGACGGTCCTGTTTTTTAAGAATTGAAATGAGAATATTAATATTAAATAATAACTCTTAGTTATTCTGAGCCTGAACTTTTACCCTGACAGCTTGCTCGGTGTGGGTTCATAGATCTGTCCTTGATAATCTCATGAACTAAGCCAAAGTCGGCTCCGATTCTTCTTTCTTGTTGTCATTCATCATTCATTATGAGATATCCATCAGTCCATTAAAGCTACAAAGAAAAGGTTCAAGCTCAAAACACAGTTTGCACATTTATTTGGGAGAAGCGCTGGGGGGGGGGGGGGGGGGGTATGCTGTGGTTCCTGAAGCATCTTTTAAAAGTAGAGTGCAGGTTTGGTATCTCAGCCGAAGCTCTAAATCTTTAATGACTGAACGGTTCCTCTTTTAATATTCCCTCTCCACCTTCTTTCTTTGTGTGATTCGTTCAGGTTTTAATATGTCGTAACTACATGGGGAACATGGACATGAATGAGATCGACCACTTCATGCCCATCTTGATGAAGAGAGAGGAGGATGCAGAAATGACGCCGCTGGTCAGCCGTGGCTCAACGCACTTCCTGTGGATCAAACACAGCAACCTTTACTGTATCCTATCAGATGTTCTCAACCAGTTCATTATTTTAAAAATAGGATCTTTTGAATCTCCACGATGGCTCCTCTATAGTGTCATTTCCCAGCGTGATTAACAGTCCTACTTTCTAACAGCAAACCCTTCCCGCCAGTCTTTTGTGAATTTCTGATGTCAATTTAATTTCCATCTTCCTAAAACACATCTATAGGTGGCTCTTTGCTTCAGGTCTGTGCATCAACCAGCTTCTGACTTTTTCATGCAACATGAATCACAGTGAGTGAAGTGCTATGTACTGTAAAGTATATCTCCCCCCTTTTTGCTATTGCGAGATTGTGCAGTCAGACTTCTCAGCACATCATTAATTCAGCATCGTATTGCAGTTGTGAGTAACTGCTGTTCCCAGTACAGCCGAGCTGCCTTTTCTCTCCCTGTGGCCATGTTCCTAATTGCTTTTGAACCTGATGCATTTGGGTAAGTTTAGTTCTTGCGTGAACTTTATGTGTTCCCTGTTAATGTATAGGCTGGGTGTGTGTGCTGCTTATTTCTTAACAATTCTGACTTCAGTGGTGGCGATGACCAGGAAGAACGCCAATGCAGCACTTGTTTACTCCTTCCTTTATAAAATAGTACAGGTGAGTCTGATGTGTGAGATCCTATTTCAGCTCTTAAAGTGTAATTTTACATAGTTTCATTCATTCAAAGGGCTGAAGTGAGAGAAAGAAATGAACACATTCCACTGCCTTGTTGAACAATTTAAGGACGCAATTGAATTGTTATTTTTCTGGCAGATATTGGGATTTTCTTTAAATCACGCTTCAGCACATTTTTCACAATGTACAGTAACATATACAAACATGGCAGAAAATTAAATTGCACCATCAAAACATTAAAAGCTATTACTATAGTAACACATAATAACTAATAACTAGAATCAGAAGGGTTTTATTGACATATGTGCGAGAATCACAACATTAGGAAATTGCTGCGGTAGTTGGTGCAAGAAACAAATAAATAAGCAAAAGTTAGAATTAAAAAAATGAACACAATGAAATGATAATATAGGGAGACAATAATTAGAGAAGCAGCTGCTATATACAAGTCAGTGTAGGTACTGGTCAAAGCAGAACACTAGGGTCATGTGACTGGAGCAAGCAGCTAGAGTGGGCAGTTCTACGATTGACGTTCATGAGTTCAACCGCAGAGGGGAGGAAGCTGTTTTTGTGGCGGAAAGTTCTGGTCCGAATGGATTGGAGCCTCCTGCCAGAAAGGAGCGAGTCGAAGTGACTGTGTCCAGGGTGAGATGGGTCTGCTGTGATCCGACCTACAAAGGTAAGTGGTCTGCAGGTGTGTGTGCTTTGCCAAAGTTATTAATGCGCACCAGATGAAAAGCTGTAACGCGTGTTTGCGTACCTGAGATTTTGTAGGTGATAGACATTTTTTATAGATGTCTCTAGGGCTGTGGTGCGGTTTGGGTGTGCAACTTTGTAAAGGTGAGGTGCATCCGGTTGATTTGAAAATAAAACAAGCCACGTGAACATTTTTATCTTTTGTTCAAAACAGTGGTATCAGTGTTCATATGTGTTGTTGTACACTTGGTGAAGAAGCAAGCACCACTAAGCAATTACTTTGGTGTTCCTCCACCTCTAAAAAAACATCAGACGTTGTTTGAACTGCAAAAGAAACTCGCGTTTTCAGAAAAGTGGCTGCGGGAGGTTAGCTGGCTTCAGAAAATGCTGGGAAAATTCCACTTTGGTGGAATTAGCGCTTTCAACGTAGGTACTGAAAACTTCAGTCAGGGAGCAACAGGAGTCAAAACAGAGTGGAGAGCAGCAAACTGTGTCTAAAAGACAACCACAGCCATAAATAATGGCCATAATACAGGGGTACCCTATCCTGGTCCTGGAAGGCCACCATCCATCAGGTTTTAATCATTTCTCTGCTCCAGCACACCTGTTTCAATGGTCAAATCTTCTTTTCAGCTGGTAATCAAGCTCTGCAGAAATCTTTTAATAAAAACCTCTTAATATCAACTAAAACATGTTGGATAGTGATCATCCATGATCAGGATTGGGCCTCCTGCCATGGTAGAATCATAAAAATAAAAAAATAACCTGCGAAACGACCAAATGTGTATGATCATTACAGCCAGCAAAACACTCTGTCACCCCAGACATCAGGTTCCCACAACTTAAACCCTCCTGCCAGCATTTGTAGCTACTGCCCTAACACTTTAAAAACCTGGGTAAAACCCTGCATGTGTAAAATAGTTGATTTAGAAGATCCCTGGTCAGTCAAGAGCACTGCAAAAAAATAATAAAAAAAATAATAATAAAAACACAGCTTTGGCGATCATATGTCGGAAATCTCAGTTTCCATCAGAAAACAATAATCATTCTGCCTTGCTGTTCAGAGTCCTCATTAGAAATACTTGAGTAATATATTCAGTATGTATTTATCCATTTCTGTCTGTAGGTATTTAAAGAGTACTTTAAGGAGCTTGAGGAAGAGAGTATCCGTGACAACTTTGTGACCGTGTATGAGCTGATGGACGAAGTCATGGACTTCGGGTTCCCCCAGACTACTGAGAGCAAGATCCTACAAGAGTAAGGAAACGAACACACAACCCATGAAGTCCTGAGTCTAAAATGGATTGCTTTCTTGAGTGTGAGGAGACATGCACATACATGCATGATTTAGGTACGAGTGACTGCTTAGATGCAAAAGTGTTATCTGGTTAACGATGATGCTGTGTTAGCGGATATTCTCAGTTTCCTACCTCCAAGAACTTTGTGCTAAATCAGTCCAGTGATTTTCTTCCGTCTGTTGCTCCTGCAACTTTACATGATTAACTGTGAGGCCTGTATGTTTCAGGAGTGTTGATTCCACTAATATGAATCTGCTATGTGCAGCTCTAATAATGTCATGCTCTGTGAGTCACCTATAATCACATTATAAGATGACTAAATTGACTTTTGTATTCACTGAGCATGAATGTGAACATTGGAGCTGCTGCCATCATTAGGCAACTTTTTTTTTTTCCCTCTACAACTTAAGCATGCATCCAAAGCAGGATAGTAAGCTAGGAGATTGTTTTCTTCACAGTAAGGTGACATTGTGTGATCTTTCAAGGCTTATTGTGACATAGTTTGTAATATTATGGAATAAATATTACAAACCATAATTAACCTTAATATAATATTAAGACCTCTTATGATGAATGATATAAATGGAAACCGTGTTCCCTTGCCCGGACGTGGGTCACCGGGCCCCCCCCCCCCTGGAGCTAGGCCTGGAGGTGGGGCACGTTGGCGAGCGCCTGGTGGCCGGGCTTTCACCAATGGAGCCCGGCCGGCACAGCCCGAAGAGGATACGTGGGTCCCCCTTCCCATGGGCTCACCACTCGTGGGAGGGGCCAAAGGGGTTGGGTGCAGTGTGCGACGGGTGGTAGTCGAGGGCGGGGACCTTGGCGGTCTGATCCTCGGCTACAGAAGTGGGCTCTTGGCACATGGAATGTCACCTCTCTGGTGGGGAAGGAGCCTGAGTTGGTGTGTGAGGTTGAGCGGTTCCGACTACATATAGTCGGACTCACCTCAACGCATGGCTTTTGCTCTGGACCCAGTTTCCTTGAGAGGGGTTGGACTTTCTACCACTCTGGAGTTGCTCCCACTGAGAGGCGCCGAGCAGGGGTGGGCATACTAGTTGCCCCCATCTTGGTGCCTGTACGTTGGGGTTTACCCTACTGGACTGGCAGGCTGGGGTGGTGGTCCCCTTATTTAAAGAGGGGGACCGCAGGGTGTGTTCCAACTACAGGGGGATCACACTCCTGAGTCTTCCTGGTAAGGTCTATTCAGGGATTCTGGAGAGGAGGGTCCGTCGGATTGTTGAACCTCAGATTCAGGAGGAGCAATTTGGTTTTCGTCATGGCCGTGGAACACTGGACCAGCTCTATACCCTTAGGGGGATCCTGGAGGGTTCATGGGAATTTGCCCAACCAGTCTACATGTGTTTTGTGGATTTGGAGAAGGCATTTGACGGCGTCCCTCGGGGGGCCCTGTGGGGGGTATTCCGGGAGTATGGGGTACCAGGCCCTCTGATACGGGCTGTTAGGTCCCTCCCTGTATGACCGGTGTCAGAGCTTGGTCTGCATTGCCGGCAGTAAGTCGGGCTCGTTCCCAGTGAGAGTTGGACTCCGCCAAGGCTGCCCTTTGTCACCGATTCTGTTCATAACCTTTATGGACAGGATTTCTTGGCGCAGCAAAGGTGTGGAGGGCATCCGTGTTGGTGGCCTGAGGATCAGGTCTCTTCTTTTTCAGATGATGTGGTCCTGTTGGCTTCATCAGAACGTGATCTTCAGCTTTCGCTGGAGCGGTTCACAGCCGAGTGTGAAGCAGCTGGGATGAGAATCAGCTGCTCTAAATCTGAGACCATGGTCTTGATTCGGAAAAGGGTAGATTGCCTTCTCCGTGTCAGGGATGAGGTCCTGCCCCAAGTGGAGGAATTTAAGTATCTCGGGGTCTTGTTCACAAGTGAGGGAAAACTGGAGCGTGAGATCGAAAGGTGGATTGGTGCTGCATCTGCAGTGATGCGGGCATTGTACCGGTCTGTTGTGGTGAAGAGAGAACTGAGTCAGAAGGCAAAACTCTCGATTTACCGGTCGATCTACGTTCCTACCCTCACCTATGGTCTTGAGCTTTGGGTAGTGACCGAAAGAAAGAGATCGCGGATACAAGCGGCCGAAATGAGTTTTCTCCGAAGAGTGGCTGGGCTCTCCCTTAGAGATAGGGTGAGAATCTCAGTCATTTGGGAGGGGCTTGGAGTAGATTCGCTGCTCCTCCACATCGAGAGGAGCCAGTTGAGGTGGCTCGGGCATCTGGTCAGGATGCCCCCTGGTGAGGTTTTCCGGGCACGTCCAACTAGGGCTGGGGTAAACAATTATTTTTAAAACGATTATTCTGACTATTATTTTATCAAGTAGTCTACTATTCTAATGACTATTTAGATGATTAATCTAGTGATATTTTTTTTATTGCACAATTAATAAAAACAAGAAAATCTAAAATATATTCGTCCAAAAAATTGATAAATTGTTACTGTAAGAGAATAAACACTACAGACCTTCCATTTTGTATAACACTGCTTTTATTGTGTTGCGGTTGGTTATGTTCTGGTGACATGTAGAACTTGGGAGTGCAGGCTGCTGTCTGAGAGGTGGTTGGAGACGGAGTGTCTCCATGCTGCTTTGTTTTGGTCACTTATGTGCATGAGGCAAGTGATGTTACGACTCTTCCTGGGGTGTTTGGCCCGTGTGCAAAAAGGAAGGGACAATAACACGGGATTTAAAAGTTAAAATGATGATCAGGTTTATTTACAACTACAAAAAAAAAAAACATAAATCTTTCCATCCACGGTTGGGAATAATAAAACTAATTCTGCCTGTGGGGAATTAAAACAAAAGTACAAATAACTAGGGATGTCCCACTGGGCCAAGATTACTGGGTTCTGGACCAAAATAAGGATCTCCAAAGGTCCAAACTTTAAACTGGGTGGTTAAACCAAACTCAAGTGATATTTTAAACTAAACCGAAAACCCACAACACTCTAAATGTAATAAAAGGGAGATCTATGCCACAAAACAAGATGAACTCTAAACCAAAACGTAACAGCTTATCCAAACGCAAGAAGCTGTTAGCGAAAATGCTAACAGTAGCTTTGCCAACGTTAAGTTCAAGTTACCAAGTTTAAATAAACCAAAAATACCCAGCAAACTGACCAGCACGGAGTAGAGACTGCTACCACCAAAACAGCTCTCCTAATGTCTGACAGAAGCTCCTTTATGAAGGGAGAAATGCTCCCGGTGATTTTCTACATCTGCGGTAGAGACGAAGCAGCGCATTTGACCCCGGAAATTGTTGTCCGTTGCCGGGAGATGAAGGCGGGCAAAACAAGAAAGGAATCTAGTAGCGGACGGACATTGTTCCGGGTCTTCGGTATTTGGCGGAGATGTTAGTGAAGGCGGAGAAGAGGGCGAACTAGAGGAAAAACAGGCAGATTCCTCCTCTATTTACAAACTTCTGGGGATGCAACAAGTGGGCGTGGTGCGTCGAATACCGGATCTGACGTCGACAAATTTTTAGAATCGAGCCATCGACGCTTCGCTACAGCTCTATGTTCAACGGGGAGGAGGTCTAAAGGTAGACCCAGGACACGGTGGAGGGACTATGTCTCTCACCTGGCCAGGGAACGCCTTGGGATTCCCCCGGAGGAGCTGGCCCAAGTGGCTGGGGAGAGGGAAGTCTGGGCCTCTCGCCTTAGGCTACTGCCCCCGCGCCTTGACTCCGGATAAGCGGATGGAAATGGATGGATGCATGGATAAATTCCCTCCCTGCTGCATCTTAAAGTACATTTTTTAGATGAGCGAAAAACAACAACTCACGCCAACTTTTTTAATTTACAATTCAGTGCATCACTGATATCAGTCAGTAAAATGCTTTAAGTGGTTACTTAACCCCCACGTATCTAGACAAATGTCAGAATTGTTTTCCCTGGACTTTAAACACCAGGCAGATGAGTGAACGGGGTTAAAATTTCAAACCTCTTAAAAGCAATAATCAGTACACTCCAGTCTAATATTTATTCTAGCAGCATTTGCTAAGTGATGCCTGAATTATCCATCAGGGAAATTCTCAATCAACAGTCTTGGACAGCATCATGTAAGTAAGTGGCAGAGAGAGACTAAGATTAGGCTTGAAGGGCATATTTTTATATAGTAATTTCATTCAAGATATTGCAGCTGGGGAGTAAAGTTGGAAAGACTGTTGGAAGGTTTGTGTTTTAGATGAACACAGAACTGTTTAGGGTTGAACCCTCATCTCGTTTGTCTCGGCTTCCCTCTAGTCCACCATAAAATGGTCTCACTGTATTTGTGGTTCTTTTTGCTTTTCATTATCAGCTTAACAAACGTAGGGTTTGTTCATTTGTCTCTTGAGTTTAAATGGTTTAGTGTGCAAAAACTTCATTCATGTCTCATTTCTTTATATTTAGTTAGAAAATAATGCAGTCTTTGTAATTGGCAATTAACAAAACATTGCATGGTTTCCAAATGTCTTCCTGTTAAACGCCATCATTAGATGAAAAGAGGAGGAGGGCATTTTTTTCAAGAACGCAAGCGGTTCCAAGCGCTAATGTGTCATATCGGCAGGTGAGTGGCTGAGCCAGGTGGAGGTGCGGCTGCCTCACCTTGAGACCAGTGCAGTGCAGCCACGTAGTAATTTGCTGACAACGCCACGTTTGTCAGCTTAGCCATCAGCCGCAGCTGGTTCTGCATAAATGTGGAGCAGAGTTTTAACCTGAAGATGGAGATATAATTATGGTTTTGGGCTGAAATATTACATTTAAAGTAAGTTACACTAAACGACCACACTAATGATTACACGTGTGTACAGTACCATTAGACACTCGTCTTTACAGGTTATTGGCTAATTGGCTGCTTTGGTGGATAGGATCATATTGCACTTTCGCTATTGTGTTTTTCTCTATTGGTGTAGTTAGCGTGTGTTTACAGCCTTTTCAATTGTTGCTTATTGGTAGTGTCCTGGATGTTTCT